GTAGGGTTTATATTTTCAAATTAAGACCCCCAAATTTCAGCATCATCCGATTTCAGCATCATCCCCGACAATAACTATTTTATTTTGTAACATATGAATAGTACCAAAGTATACTACGTAGGGACGATGGGTTGGGAGAATCTTACGCACGTGCAGAATGCACCTAGAACTTGATGATCAGATAGAGTGTGCATTTAATTGGTTAAAATTAAAGTTTAAACAGATAACGATAACGATAATCATTCAACTGGAATCGACCAAAGATTAAGACTATTAGCATCGACTGACTAACCTCAATTAGTTGATTGGTCAATCGACTAACTAGTCTAACTAAAGCGAAGGACTGCATATTTCCGTGCAAAGTGCAGAAGTGATGTTTGTCCGCCCACGCGATGATAATCCAATCACATTCTAGCACATCATAAGAAATCATAAGAAGATCATCCAATTAAATTATTTGAAATCATTAGTTGTCGCCGGCGGTGACAGTCACCAGATTGCAACTGAATCAAAACAAACGATAAGGTTAGTTAGATAGGGTAAAGCATTACGTATAGTAATAGCGAGGAATTTTTTTAATTAGAACATTCACACACTTGATCCCATGATATGATTGGCCAATTGCAACCCGGTGACTGTCACCGCCGACGACAAATAGATTTACCTTATCTATGAGTTGACCATATCGATCAAAATAAGAACTTGCTACCGGAATTAATAAGAGAGTCATGCAGAAAGTACGATGATTTAAATTACTTTCGAATTTTTGATGCAAATTATCATTCTGGCATGTTTTATCTCTTGGTCTTGGATGAGTTTTGAATTTGGTAGCGGACAATGTAAGTCAAAGAAAAGTGCAAAGAATATTATAACGTTTGTTGGTTTGCAGTGCAGTAATAAAGTTATAACTTGTACAAAAGTGCAGTATATTATCATCTACCACTATTTTTTTTTCTTGTAAATTCTGTAAAAATTTAATTTTTCTTATTTTTAATAGCTGGTGTACTATTATCAACGCAAAAGTTGAAAAGTACCGTATTATGGAAGGTTCGCTAGCCAGATTTTCAATTTAAAATCTTATATAAACTATTGTTATTAACATGTTTTCTGCTTATAATAGCCACACTGAAATTGATCCTGTTTAGATGCTCCATGAAGATTTAAGACCTCAAATTTCAGCATCAGCCGCGACATTTCTTATTATTATACCTATAAAGACATCTTTTATTAAACATCTTTTATTAAACATCTTGCTTTTATAGAATTTAAAATGTTAAAGATTATAACTGAAATTAAAGATCAATTTTTTTAAGGTAAAACGAATGTCTGTATGGTATAGGTGACCAGATCAGTATGTATAGATGTGATATATACTGTTTGATTATTTGTCACACCCTTAGAATTTAGGGTTAGCGCTGCCCGAAATTATGCTTAACGCCGGCCGGGTTTTATTGGATGTGACAATTAAGCAAAACAGTATAGTCCAGTGTTATAAATTCAAAAAAAATTTATTGGCGCAAACACAAAAAAAAATGTACACAAAAAAGAAATTTATACGCGCTTTATATATACAGAGAGTTCTGATATATGCGCGAATTTAAATCTATGTGCGCTGCGCCTACTGCGCGGATCCAATTTACATCACTGAGTATAGTACGGTTGGATAAAATCACATCTATACCATACTGATCCGGTCAGTTGTGCCATACTGATCTTCTTTAATCCCACATAAAACTACCTGGCTTTAGACGATCACCATAGGGGGGCAATGGGCTAAAAATTTTGATTTTGTAATTTCACAAAAATCAGATGCCTATTACTCTAATTAGTTAAGAAATTAATTTTTTTGACCCTTTTTGCTGTGGGGTTCCCATATGATAAAATGCCATAATGCCATAATTCAGTATTCTACCATCAATTATAAGTTTATAGGAACAATCTTTGGACAAAAAAATGTCAAAAAAGCCCAGGACAGTCAAAATGTATAACATTGCGATACAAGGATTACTATTAGAAAGGATATTACTTAACAAAATAAGAAGTTTAGTGCACCTAGCGGTTAAAGGCATTAGTCTTTTGATTAAAATCGACAAAATAATTATATAATAATTACGATCGATTATCCGAACTTTCATTTATTTTTGGTAAATTTCCTAATTGCATTTCCTTAGCTTCGGCTCTAGCCTGTTTGATCTGATTGTATTCTTCCTCTGATAACTTTTTAATACCAGTCCATTTTTTTGCGGCGAGCCAATTGAGAAACCCCTCCGTCATTTTTTTGTCTTTCGATTCTTTTTTGTCATTATATTCTTTTTTATCATTATTCGAAATTTCTTTGGTCATGGAATTTGACATAGGCGGGGAGTATGGTTGTATATTTTTCGATTTAAGAATTAACTGATGTCTATAGTTATATGCACTAGTATAACAAACATGTCCCAAGCCACTTATAAAAGAGAAAAGAAAGATGCTAGATAGAAGGCCTTGGCGGCCATCTTGAAGTAAATAAAGAACAATGAAGCTCATAAAGAGTTGATATACGGTGTGAAAGTTTCTAAAACATTCACATGTAGAGGCAAATCTCGGAAAACTACTCACGGATAATTGCCGAGAACAAACCACCAGTCAAACCACCAGTAATAATACTGCTGATGAGCTCATCTATGTTTCGTGTATAATAATTTCTAAGTTTATTTTTCTGTTGATGCGCTAAGCATAGCTCTCGGATACCTTGATAGAAAAAAAAAAATAAGTGCAAAATATTTCATATCGGGTGCAAATAGATAAAATATGAGCATACTGAAAAATGAAAGTCCAAAAATTCCGCAATTAATGCCTGTAGCAATTGTATAACGAAGAAAAGAACGGTTATAAAAAAAAGCAACCAATCCACCGCAGGTTGCTCCAGCACTGACTTAGGTTTCGAGAACAAAATGCATAAATTATACATTCAATAAATTTATTGATTCAAACATCAATTGGACGAGAGAAGGGAACGAATGAATATAAACCAGATAAAAACGTCCCAGTATAAATTCTATTTCGTGATTCTTCAGTCCACTTTTGATGAGAAGCCATAAAAACGCATGTACGTACGTCAGTGTATAAAATTCGCATTTACTAATTTTACCCCAGGTTTCACGATTCTGGCCAATCAGAGGACAGGATCAGGTGTAACGTGAAAATTAA